CCATCTTCTCCTGGCCGAACTCGGCGCCGGACGCGCTCGGCGCCGGCGGCACCCATGCGCTTCATCTCGGCGTCGGCGCCGGGCGCGAGGACGGACTGCATCACTGTTGTCCAGGCCTGGACGTCTTCGGGGTCGCGGAGCCAGCCTGTCTGGCCATCGACGACTGTCTCCACAGGCCCGCCCGTATTCGCGGCGAGGACGGGCACGCAGGCGCGCATGGCCTCGAGGGGCACGATGCCAAAGTGTTCGTTGGCAGGGGTGTAGACGAGCAGACGAGCGGAGCGAAGGAGCGAGTCTTTGAACGCCGAGGGCACAGATAAGAGGAAGAGCACTGGGATCTGGGGAGAGACGGCAAGGGCCGAGATGACGTTCTTGGCCGTCACCGACTCCAGGCCGAGAGACTTGGCGAGGGCGACGAGCTCGCGGTGGTATTCGTAGTTCTCCGCAGAGCGAAGGTCGTAGCCGCCTGCGATGACGAGGCGGACGTTCTTGCGGGCTGAGGGAGAAAGGCCTGCGAAGGCGCGGATGGCGAGGGCGACGTCCTTCTTGCGCTCGAAGCGATTGATGCTCAGGATAATATTCTCGTCGGACCAGACGGCGTCGTCGGCAGCTACTTCGGTCTTCTTCTCAGAGGTTTTCGTCTCGGGAGAGGCGTCGGCGGGCTTCGGGGGCGTAGGTTCAAGCTCGATACAAGGGTAGAGGACCTTGAAGTCCTTGCGCTTGGCCAGGCTGGGCCAGGTGTCGGCGGCAACCTTCTTGGTGAAGGATGAGTTGACGGCGATGACGGCGGCGAAGCCCATGGACCACTGTTCGAGGAGGTCAAAGGGCACGCGGTAGGCGCGCTTGAGAAAGTTGTCGCGGCCGCGGGCGAGGAGCAGGTCGGGGAAGTGGCAGTAGAAGAAGATGGGGGTGTCGGGATAGAGCCACTGCAGGAGCGGCAAGCCAGCGCTCAGCTGGTCGGCGAAGAAGTTTGTGGGCCGCAGGCGACCGAGCTCACCGGTGAGATAGACCTGCCAGATGAGGTGGAGCTGGCGCAGGACGGCGCAGAGGATGGTGAGGCGGTCGAAGATGTGCGGCGGAACAGGCCAGCTACCACGGACGCGGACGTCAAGAGTGCCATTGCGGGCCTCTTCAAAGCAGTGCTTTGGGTCGCAGTGACTCGTGAAGATGGTCACCTTGTGGCCGCGGTTTTGAAGGCCAATGGCAGCGTCAACGACGAGGCGCTCGGCACCGCCAATGCCCAGGTCAGGGTGGAAGAAGACGACCGACTTCTTCTTGGGAGGTGGCCGCACAGACATTGTGCGTGGCTGATGTGATGTCGTCGTCTGTATGCTTCGACCTCCGTGCTCGTTGGATGTTGGTTGAAACTTGGCTCTCGGGTGGGAACTTGTTGATTGATCAAGAGAGACCACGACACAGGAAGTCAATGCCTGGTGCTTCTTTTTGAGAAGACGACGGCAAAAGACCAGGCAAAAGAGCAAAAGATGGGTAAATGCAGAAGTGGCAGGTCCGGCAGAATAGGTACATGTAGCAAGAGCTTCCCCCACTGGCGGGGCAGCTGCAATGGGGCAGGCCAAGCATGTGCTCCTGCCTCCTTGTCCTTGGCCGCTCCCCCTTGGCCGCTCCTTCCCGGCCCGTCGACCCCGACTTGGCGGTACAACGGATAACTGCTTCAATTCTCAGGGTCCCCTACCTGGTTGGTACCCTTGCTGCCTTGGTACCTTGGGTAGCCCACCATCAATTGATGATTGATGCAGGTCGCAAGCACACGTTCTTCAGGGTCCTCTCCTCCCCACCGTCTTGTTCTAGCGTCTGGGGTCTGGCCTGGTCTCATTTCCCCGGCTCGTGGCCCCCATCTTGACGACTTTGTCTTTCCTCTCTCTTCACCCACCGCACCATGCGCTGCGAGCTTTGATCGCAATCGTCCTAACGCCGCCCAGGCGCGGCACCTACGCTCTTTTTCGCTGTCACCTGTCGTCTGTCGTCCGACACAAAACAATTTGGCGACTGTCATTCATTTATCAATGCGCCTCCTTGCCCGGCGAGCCGCCGCTCTGGCCATCCTCTTGGCCCCCCTCTCAACAACCGCCGGTGATTCCGACAGCGAACAGACCATCTGGGCTACCCCTCACGAGCAATATTCGTCCTCTGTCGGTGTCTTAGGCTGCAAGATTGACACCAACCGTGTCGCCTACTGGCCTGCCGCCATCAGCTGTAATGACATCTGCGTCGAGGTCCAGCATGAAGGTCGCAAAGTCAAGCTGCTGCGCATCGACCGCTCTGAAGGCGCTTACGATATGAGCTACGACGCCTGGAACTACCTGTACACTGGCAAGTCGGCACGCGACGAGCCTGCCGTGGGGGGACCTGTCGAGATGCAATATCGCAACCTCAGCGCCTCGGACTGCGACGACCTCATTCATACCAAAGGCAGCCGTCTGCCGCTGAGTGCCCCCAACAGCATGAATTTTCTTGCGAGCTGTCTCGACGCGCCTGGTGACAACTGGGTCAAGGATAATCACATTCTATACAACGTCCTAGACCCTCTTTGTACCGTCGGTCGCGACGAGGAGTGCGAGCTCGACTGGCCCGCCGCCAACCAGGCCGTGTGTCCCCACACCATGGGCGAGCCAGTCCCGCTCAAGGACAAATCTGTGGTCAATGTGCAGTACGGGACAGGAGACTCTGTTGTCGGCGCGACTGGCGAGAAAGTGGATGATCCCTCCAGCGCATCGACTCTGATACCCAGATCATACGTTCTCTTGTCGGGGGCTTTGCTGGGCGTGACACATCTATTTTGCTATACCCCTTTCTGATTTTACGTTTTTAGGACATCGCACAACCACTTTTACTGAGCAGCCCATCTGTCGTGACATCAAATCATCCCATATTGTGACTCAACAATCTGAACATGACTATGTACGGCCCCATCCCGGACTTGCCGATCCCGCCGATGTCAATTCCGGGGCCGTGGAGCCACCAAGGTCGCACCGGAGTGGGCACGCCAAAAACCGGGAACACAGTGAAGACTTTTTGGCATATCTGACCGCAACTTGACATGGTTGTCCTGTGACATATATAAACTATTTCCTCGCCCCTCAAACTCATTGAGCGCACACAATATAGCGGACTTCAATCAACAGACAGGTCAGTCACAAGTACCTTGCGGCAAAGGAAGAGAGGCCGCCCCACCACAGGCGCCAAACCCTCACACACATTCAAACCCATGGGGGACGCCGCATCATGGATTTCGAAAAGCAAAGCTACTGGCGCGATCGTTTCGCCCGCGAGGAATCATTCGAGTGGCTTGTCACCTCCTCAGACCTCATGGCCACCCTCGACCCGCTCCTCGCCAGCCTGTCCCTCGGCCCCGACGCCCGCATCTGCCACCTCGGCTTCGGCACCAGCGACCTGCAGAACCACTTTCGCGCCCGGGGCTTCTCCGCCATCACAAACCTCGACTACGAGCCCCTCGCCTGCGAGCGCGGCCGCGCCCTTGAGGTGACCCGCTTCGGCGACTCAAGGATGGAGTTTCGCGTCGCGGACGTCACGCAGCTGCCAGCCGACCTGGGCGCGTTCGACCTCATCGTCGACAAGAGCACCGTCGACGCCGTGGCATGTGGGGGCGACGACATGGTGCTGAGAATGGGGAAGGGGGTCGAGAGGTGTCTGAAGCCCGGGGCCGTGTGGGTTTCGCTGAGTTACTCGTCGGCCCGATTCTCGGACGAGCGTCTCCCGTTCGATGTTGAGGTACTGCACAAGTTTCCCGTGCCCAAGATGAGCCCGACAGAGCCGGATGTGTTCCACTGGTGTTATCTGCTGAGGCAGCGGGCGCCGGGTGTGAGGCAGGGAAGGGCGGAACTGGAGGGGGCGGATCGGGTCTCTGGGGAGACGTGCGGGAGTGGGTTTCAGTATGAGAGGGAAAGCCGAACCACAATGGAAAGGGCGACTGTTTCTTGACGTGCAAGTAAGGAAATTTCTAGATGATTCGGGCCGTCAGCAAACGCACAGCATCTGGACGGTTGATCGGACGAATTTGCAGTTATCGACGGGTTTTTTTGATTCTTTCTCGCCCGCTCCCGACCTTGGAAGACTTTTCAATACCGCAAAACCTTATTTTCCTCCATGGTTAGTGAACCGCGAATTAACTCTAGAATCATATCAATAATCCCTGGAAGTTTCGTTCCGGATCACAGCATATTCTGATTCACTGGACACCACTCTTAGTGAACAAGGCATGCTCATATTCCGCGAGGGAGGGGCCGCTGGCTGCCCTTAGTCATCACATCGCTGCCCCTCACTACAATCCACTACAGTCACCACGCAATTGCGTGTCCAGTCTTCAACACCCATCACAAGAAAGCATAATCACATAGCTGCAATGTCACAAAAAACGCAAGAGCCCGTCATCACCAAGATCTCTGACCTCGCCACGGCTGACGCCCGCTGGGTGACGTTGAAAAAGCTCGACTACGTTGATCAGGTCGGCAAGTCGCGCTCCTGGGAGGTCGCCACGCGCAAGACGACGAGCAAGGCAGGCATCGACGCCGTCGCCATGGGCAACATCCTCCTCCACCCGTCCAAGCCGGCCTCTACCATGCTCGTCATTCAGTACCGGCCGCCCCTCGACTCTTACACTGTCGAATGGCCGGCTGGCCTCGTCGACGCCGACGAGACGGCCGAGCAGGCCGCCGTCCGCGAGTTCAAGGAGGAGACGGGCTACGAGTGCAAGGTCCTCAGCGTCAGCCCGCCGCAGGCGGCCGATCCCGGTATGACCAACGCCAACATGCAGATGGTCATGGTTGAGGTCCAGCTCAAGGACGGTGAGCCGGAGCCGGAGCAGCGCCTGGACGACGGCGAGCACATTCAGCGGGTGGTCGTACCTCTGGCGGAGCTCTACGACAGACTGGTCGAATACTCCAAGCAGGACCGTATGATTGTCGCGGCTAAGCTGTTTCACTTCGCCGCTGGCATGAACTTTATGAAGACGCAGAAGTACTTTTGAGAGAGGGCAAGGAGAAACGGACACGCTTCGAATCTAGACGTCTCAAAGCAGCTGGGTGACATGAAGTATCTGTGACCATCACTCGAAGACTCGGGATCTTTGTCCGTAGTCAGGCAATCTGCTATCACCGTGGAATTGCCCAACATTCGGGTTAATGGTGGCACGTGGTTTCCAAAACTTGTAAAGCAATTTGGACAGACCCTATAACTTAAATCAGCACCTTGACCAAGGCTCCGGAACATGCAGCAAACTCCGCGCGAAGGTGGCAATCAATCATCATCACCCGGTTGCGACATAGAGACGGGTTGGAGAATGGAACCGCTTGCAGACATGTGACCGTCCACATGCGATTTGAAGTATCGAACCTGCGTAAAAGGACGGTTCGGAAATATGAGACCAATACGTACATCCAGCCTTGTGTCAATTTCTGCCTTGTCGAATGCGGCGTGGCAACCTTTCCAGGGTGAGCCTGGTACATGTATAGAGAGTGAGTGGCGAAGAATCGTAGCGGAAGCCATTTGCATGATTTAGTGAAGATATCAAGCATGAAACAAAGATCGATGTATCGCAACCTCAAACTGCGTCACTTTCTGTGTCAGGCCGTCTGCCTCGCAGTCAAGTTAGATATGTTCATTCGTTTGATTACCATCTCGGCAGGACCCTAGGATAGCAAAGAGAGAAGAAAGTTATCAGATGTATACTATGAAGTAGAATAGAGCAAGCTCTAAGCGAATCGAAGCCTCTGGGAGGGGCGTATCGCAGTCAGCCCCAATGAGTCACCTCACGCCGTGTTACCCTAGGCACACGAGAGATCAATACCAACTCCAACCAGAGCTCCGACAACCGGGGGAAAAACAAATCCAGCAAGGTCCTTCACAATACCGGCAGCCACGTGACAGCCGCCCAGCTCCTCAGCAGCCTGGGAGGAAAAGGCAATCCTAAGGCGATTTCCGCTGAGTTCGCCGTGCTTTTCAACCGAGACATTGAGAATAGCGGGAACATGATGTCCGTGGTGGAGGTCGTCACACCTGATGGCTTCATTGCCGTCCTCCGCGCAGCCGCAACCGCCGTCGCATCCTCTCTGACTGCAGACAGAACCGATAGTGTTTCTGCAGCAGTTCCTCCATACGTTATACTCTTTCTTGGCAGAAAAGTCTTGGATTGTTTTCCAAGCAGCTTCAACCATGGCGTCCCGAATCTCGTGATGTCTGCCATTGACATCGTCCCAGGCACCCTCGATCGTAATGGTGATCTGACGGGTGTGACTTTTGTCTATGTTGCAAGGTTTGACCTGGACCACAACGTTTTCGGTGTGTGAAGTAATGGCGTGCTGGTTTCCTGCGGCTGCGTAGATGGCCTGCCAGGTCTCTTTGAAGAGGTCCAGATCTCCAACATCAACCATGGTATCCGTTGTGCTTACATGGACAACAGGATTGCCAAGGACCTTCTGGGCGAAGGCCAGGACGAAGAGAGCAGCGGTGAACTTCATATTCTACACAAATGGTTAATGTTCAAGACCATTACGCAACAAGTAAATACTTACGTGTTTGAAGGCTAGGCCAGTTGTGTTGAAGATTGTGCGGGAGATTTGTATTCTATGAACGATGTACTGAGCTGAGTTGTGTCTAATGAGAAACATCTGTCTTGGAAGAGGGCATCCTTTGATCTTTTATAGATGAACGGCGTCGGACTTAGCTTCAGAATTCCAAGACGCAGCAGGCATCTAGATGCGGTTCATCATCTTGCCAGTACGTGCTCGCGGCTTGCATGTATGAAAAGCTGCACTAAGCCCAAAGAACATGTAACCACCTGAATATCCAAACTTTGTTTGAGAGGTTTAAAATGACAGTTGAGGTTATAGTCAACGAAACCAGTGGCGACGAAGGTCATCGCTGGCGGGTCCAAGGCTAGATAGACAACTCATCAGGGGTTCTTCAGTTGAGCAGAGCATCGGATGCTTCGCTTGACCGCCTCACGCCTTATGTCCGTAATCAACCAGTTCAGCGACCGCCGGGACCGCAATGACCAACAAGGTATTCCACCGTCTCACATAATCAATATCCTTGACACAGCACAATTTGCTATTGCCGACATACGTCGGTACATTCTGTCGGCTTCGCCACGGCATTAGTACGTGAACCTGAAGAGACGCCAATTCTGTCGATTGTTCAGAAACTGTAAAACATGATTTCTAGTAGCCATGACAGCCGAGTGTCTTGTTACGACTCGGCAGGGCGAATGCGTATCTTGAAAACACATCACTCGCCGACGTGACTACCAAGGGTAAAGGAAGCAGGGTCAAGGTTTCTTAGATGAGCAAAACAATTTTTGACAAGCATGCGGCACCTTTGTAGCCATTTTGAGGCAAGATAAAGCGTTCACGGATGAAGGATGACAATCAACACAATGCCAGAAGCGTCATGTGCTTGATTCAAGCGAACAGGGCACCAGGGGCACAGCCAACAAGGCTCCTGGGTTCCATGAATGACATGTCATTCTTCGGACGACCGTGCTCCTACGCAATCTGTAGAAGGTCCACTCCGCGGCGAGACAAGATACTCTATTATATGAGGAGAACCTTCGCTTTCACTTCGAGGGCGTGACTGTGTCTACTCTCATTGAGGGCCTCTGTCTATCTGACAAGAAATGAGTTGAGAATTGATAGGATGGCATACATGGTTAAGGCCCCCAAAAATCAGCGATACTCATCAGTCACCGTCCATGTAGGGGTATCTCTTACCGGCTGTCGCAGGATATTTGAATAAGGTTGTATAGCGTCAACTTTCGAGAAAGAGTGGGCACGGGACTTGATATATCCCGACCGACTCGTAGCATGACTCGAAATCTCTCGCACAAGCGATGCTCCCGAAGTTGACCTCCTTCTGCGCAACCATAGTTGCTCAAGCTTATCCGTTTAAAAAGCCACTATCTCACACAAGTTACGCCATGTGACTGTTGGGTCGTTCATTGAACACCTTGGACGCTGTGTCGTCAACATCCTCGCTGTGATGTGTGGTAGGAACCAAATTTTTAGTGGCATTCGGACGCGTCCCTGCTCCCACCAATCTCCGCCTGTTTTCATGAAACCACGTGAGTGCGAAATCAACATTTCCCGTTTCTCTGGTTAGGGGGCACCTGCTGACCCGGAACACCAGAAGCTCAGGAGCTACTCGAGAGGATTTGAGGCCACAGAGGCGCACGTAGAAGGGCTATGAATGACCCGCGAAGCTGTGGAAGTCGAGAACATGGATGCTTGTCTGTCCTATACTTTGTATTTGACTGGGGAGCTCCTTCGCGGAAACTTTCTATTTGTTCACCAACCTTCTCTGACATTCTGATTGAAAATGGAGCCAGCGTACATGTGTCACCTACCACGACAAGTGTTCTGATACTCTTCTTCCACAAACAGAATAAAGATACCCCTTCATCAAGTTACCTCTCTAC